CCTATAAAAAGGAAAATAGAAAGAATTTTATTTTTAATTATTGAAACAAACCTATTGTTAAAGTTTGAGCAAAAGTATCTGTATCATTCCAATGAAGTACAGGTAAATTATGAAATGGACCTGAAATAGTTTCATTAGTCTTATGTTGTGACCATATTTCATCTCGTTTTTCAAGTAATTCAAAATCTTCTTTATAATCAACATTTTTATGTATATATGCAATATCTTCTAGCATATAACGAACAGCTTGAACACGTCCACGACAATTAAAATAATAAAGTCGAAGTTTAATATTAATTGATGATTCTGTTGACATGATATTTAACAAAAAACAAAAAAAGAAAATAATATAGAATGTGAATGAGATATACAAATAGTGTGTCAATCCTTATATAGGCATCGTTTAAAGAAAAGATTACAAAAAAAAGTAGTGAGAAAGATATGACCAGGTGTTTTTTTTATTTATTGTGTTTTGTGAAAGTGTGTGAATTACATATCTATGAGTCATGTAAACTTTCAAACGAATAATTGTTTTTGTTTTTAATTCAATAAAATATATAACATCAGCTAACTTATGTCTGATCATATCTATGTCATATATATATGAAAAAAGATCTATGAAGAAAGAATCAATCTTTGTTTTTTTTTATTAATGACACCAAATCGATTAGTTTACGATAATTAATTACAAATACAAAATGAATAATCATTTCTTCTCATATTATTTAGAAAAAATGAATTTTAAAATAATACATTTCAAGTTTATACAGGGCTTATCAAAATTATAGCCCGCCTTTTATCGTTGAGATTTTTCAAAGAAGATGAATAGCTAGATCAAATCTTAATAGTGATTTCGATAGCCCTTGAAGTTCTCTATCGAAAACAGTATAGGTCAAAATACCAGAAAAAACTTTCCTTAGAAAGTTTTCCAAAAAACCAAAATGCTCCACGGGTGGATGGGTATGGGTGTGGGTATGGGTGTGGGTGTGAGTATGGGTGTGAGGGTGGGTGGGTGTGGGTATGGGTGTGGATGTGGGTGTAAAGTGCATGAGTGCCCACACCCATGCCCCACCCACCCACACCCACACCCACACCCTGGATTCTACTATTCAGAGCTTCTATAAAGTACCATATTGAAACATATATCAACAGAAAAAAAAAACCTTAAATTGCTTCATGAGAATAAAGACGACAAATCCATGGGAAGGGATGGGATTGTCCTGTTCCATTCAGAATTCTGTTTTCTTATCTGTGATTCGAATGACATCTTAATTAATGTTGATAGCTGCTATTCGATTGTTTTAACTGGTTGATATCTTAAAAAAATGAATATTTTTTAGTTTTTATTCTTTGCAGCAAAGGACCGACAGCAATAGCTGCTACTGCTGTAGAGCTAACGAAAAGACATCGAAAAGCATCAAACATTGAATTCATTGAATTTGACAATGACCATTTGTTTTTGTTTTCTATTCAAGAAATTAAAAAATCTCACTCTACTAACTGGCAGTTTCTTAGATCTACAAGTTTATCGTGTTAATATATGCTTCAATATTTGCATATATAATATTCACTCAGAACTTAATCAAAAATATTTTCTCGCTAATAAAGTGCATGTTGTTGATGCATTAAAATAAAAAGATTGAATATGTTGGCACTAAATCCTTGATAGCTATTTGGAGATACGTTCAGCAATTCAAAGATTTTCCTTTATCTTTTTTTCTCTTATTTCATTTAGGATCAGAAGCAGCAGCAGCTACAGCGGTTATCATCGCTATTTCTGCATCAGTTCATCAGCCACCACATCCCATTGAATTTAAAGCTGATCGTCCATTTTTATTCTTCATTCGTGAAAGTCGACAAAATATTGTCTTATTTAGTGGCAGATTTATTTCACCACCAACAAAGTCATAAAGGAATTATTTCAAGAAACATACATCATATTCGCACATCTATTACTTCTTATCAAAATGGCATAATAATTATTGATTAACTTTCATTTTATTATATACTTTTGATAAAATTTAAAAGATTTATTGTGCGACTTCATAAAGAAAGTTACAAAATAAATAAGAGAAATCTTTCAATTTTAAGCAACGAATATCAAAGTGTGTGTTAACATCGAAATATCTATTAGGTGAGAATCAAAACTTCTGTAATGTGGTTATACTTAAAGTGTGGGTGTGGATGTGGGTGCGAGTGTCATGATCTATTAAACCATACCCACACCTTCACACGCCCACACCCATCTACAAGAAAATATCATTGACACCGGAAGAAAACATCTGAGAAGGCTCTCTCAGACGTAGGAGCTTGAAAAACTCTATTAGCTATTTATCAGAAATTGTTCTAAGGTGTATTCTTTTGATGAAATATCAAGCTATATTATGAGAAAAGTAACATTTCTTTTATTGACTTTCAAAACTTACAGTCTATAATTGTCACTTATAACACAGACAAGTTCATTTGTACAGAAATTGGTAGAGAATTGACATGTTTCTTCAATTAAAATTCAAACAATGCTCTATAAAATGAACCATGTAGAAATTAGAATTCTTCTAAGTGTATATTCTTATTCAAATACTTTTTAGATAACTTTAAAAGCGTATTTGAAATGAAATTCATTTACCAGAATCAAAACTTTTTAGATTCTTGCTTAGAAAATGAAAATAAATTTGAAGATATGATAACAACTGTTCTTTTGAGAAATAAATGCTGCTCACCGAACCACAATACGTAGCCTATACAACTTTTTGTTACATCGTTTTACATTACATCTAATTGGTATTTATCGAGAATTCATTTCTGTAATATCTAACAGAACAGCTAGAATTGTGTATTGTTTATTTGCCTACATATTTGTAAGGAAAAGCACATGGTACTATTTTTGCTACATCTCATACGATTGTCATCAACCAGACAACAAGATAAACACAATATATCAACCAAAGATAATAAATGTATTTCTTCGATTCTAGTTCTCCCTCATAAATGTTATGTGTATATAATAGAATTTGCTTTCTTTTAGTTTCTTCCATAAGAGTATGTACATAATAAAAATCTATAAAAAAAATTATGCTTTCATTTAAATGAAACATCTGGCTAATCATAATAGGAGTGAGAGGTTACCATGCAACCGGTCATCCAAATAATGGAAACAATCACATGATAAAGCAACCAAAATAATGTATTGCCATGCATTATTTTCGCAGATAATGTATTACAATGCATTATCTCAATTGCACTATTAAGTAATTGCATCCGCTTTGGGTGGTGGCTGCATAGATTATTGTTGTTCGTCTGTTATCAACAACAGTGACAATAACAAAAAAGTTATTGTGACAGTATATGACAGAAGAGATGATGATGTGGCTAGAAATACGCTTTATTCTATCTCTTCATATCATATAACAGTATCGTTTATATATAAAACATACAATTATATACGTAAGTAGAACAAGAGCAGGTGAAAAGAAAGAAGATGAGTTCGAAGAGAGAACGACGTAAGAGTAAAGTTGAGAACAATACATATAGTATACGAGTATATCATGATACAAAAGGAGAAGTACATTACATGTACAGAGAACCGTAAGTGCAACAAGATTATCCAAACTAGGTAGTATCGATTGTACAACAACAGATAGATAAAGGGAAGATATCATATAAAATGATGTACTCATTGGTACTGTTATCGTTATTAATAATAATAACAATAAATTTATATCTCTAAATCATAAAAAAAACGTTAAGCTATTAATTTTAATATTGTTTTATGCAAAAA